ATGGAGAAGTCTCTACTGCAAGAGTTCCAAATGTCATTGCTTCTTATTGTGCTTCAATCCCTACTGATTTATCTTGGAAGAGACTGCCATTTGTTGAAGCATCCTTGCCATTGGAATAAGACAGAACATTGCCTTCTCCAGATACAAGTGCAGCTCTAGTTTTGACACCACTTATAAAAACAAAGGATGATCCATTAAAGAAAAGATTTGTGCTCTGTAAGCCATTAAAGAATTTGGAACTTTTGGATGCCCTGTAAGGAAAGAAAGGTCACTATGAATTCCACACAATTCAGTTGTAAAGAAAATTATAAAGATTGCACAGCAACATTAACAAGGCGTTAAATATCAATTGATATGGGTATGTCTGTGGACAAAATCTCGCAAAATCTATTCTTAGAACAAAGCTGATAACTTCAGGAAGAAATCAATCAGACTTAGAACCCTCTAAATGCATCCAAAAAAAGCACCATACAAATAGTATGTAGATATAACTGTAATGATCTGACAATTGCTTACCAAATTAATCACATGCTAAACTGCAAAAGAAACAAACAAGCCTTGGATAGGCTATACTTTTGTGTGGCTAGCTAAAGTTGAACCTTTATGTTACTTTCTAGTTCTAACCGTTCTGATCAGTAAACACGTATACATTCCATCATTCAAATAAATAACTATAAAACCACCACACTGCTTTCCGGACTAGTCTACTTCTTGATGCAAAGACAATACATTCGGTCAAAATGGCCAATGGTTTTAAGTTAATAGGTAACAATCTCCGGTAAGAACCAACTAATAGTGGGGACTAGATCCCACAATTAAAAAGTAAGGTATGGAGTTTCTTGTGGATTTATATGAATCTAGGCTCTCAATCCTAACAGCTAGAATTCAGGTGTGGTTCCCCAGAGATCCTATCCGTCGAACTCTCAGTTGAACAACCCATGCGGTGACATTGATATTGCAACTGCTTGAAGTTACAAAATAAATATTAAATAAATAAATAAAACTAGTGCAAAGCAAATCTGCAGCTCTAATGGTATTATATTGTTCAAAGCTAAATAAAGCTACACAAAAACCAACCCGCATAAACACCAAAACCATGAAACTGCAAAAACTGCAACTCACGGTGGACTAATATGTACCTAATTGTAAGTTATAGGACTTAGATCCCACATCAGACTAATATATACCTTCATTAATATAGGACTTAGATCATACATTAGAAAGTATGGGATTTGCTTAGAAATTTATATGCACCTAGGTTCTCATGGCCTAAGAGCTAATTTTTGGGTGTGTGATTCTCCAAATTCTCATATCACCGGCCGTTCCAAATGCCAAGCCTTGGGCTGTTTAAAGAAAAAGTCAACGACCGATGAAAATAAAAGTCCAAGACTAAATCCAAGATAAACACAGCGTCCGTATAAGATCGAAACCGGAACAATTAACCATAACAACTTGAAATTTGATTAGAAAGCCGAATAGAAGGAAATGGTGTTGGAACAAAAGAGATGCCAAATAAAACACAAAAGAAAATCTAAGTTAAACGAAAGGATTGTTACATGAAAAATATATGAAATTTAGATGCAAATTACAAAGAATCGGAGAAGAGATCTTACTGAAGACGAGAAAGACTTGCAGTTGAAGGAGAAGAAACGTTGAAAGAAGCCATTAGCAGCTACAGATGTAATGGGAGGGGATATTGGGATTTGAAATTTCTTTTTTGGCTGCATTTTTGTGTTATATGTATACATATTTATAGAGTCAGATGGGAAGGAAGCAAAATGGAAGAAGGCAAAGGTAATTCTCGAAGCGGCGGCGAATTGAAGTTGTTTTATTACTTAATCGCGGGTGAGCTACCAGCTTGACCGGTTTGATGGCTTTCACTTTTATTACATGTAATTTGATACAAGAAGGCCTGATATAAAAAAAATTCTAAAACTATATCGTTTTTTCTAATTAGTATCTAAAATTTTTTCGATCAATTTTAATGTATAAAGTTATAAATTTTAACATTTTAAGTATCTTGTCTATAACCATCATTAAAATATATCAACACATGTATCATTTATATAATTTGAAAAATTTTATTTTTTAAAAATAAAAATATTATTAAAATATTTTTTTTAAATAAAAATATTATTAAAATTTTTAAAAAAATCCCCCACCCACTTGTTTTCCAATTTTTCATTCCCAAACAGCCGACTAAACAGCTAACCAAATGCCACTGCCAGTCATTTATCGCGAACTATCATAGTCAAATCTCATCAATGGAAGAGAAAAGGTTAAAGGAGTCGCCTCTTCAATGTCGTTCGACCTATCGTTTTTATCTAGTGTCGACCCTCTCACTAATGTGAAGTCCCCTCCACAAAGTCCAGGAGCCCCTTTAACGGAATCTGGGAGCAATCATCGGCGGCTTAGAAAATGGGATAGAGATTTGGGGATTTTTTGTAAGAGATAGAGATTTAGAGTTTTTTTTTTAATTTTAAAAAGTTTAGGATTTTTTTATGAAAAATAATATTTTAAGTTTTTTATTAAAAATAAATTTTTCAAAAAAAATATAAAAGATACACGTGTTACTTAACGAACTTTTTTAGTGATTACTATAATTTGGCCACCTAAAATACTAACGTTTATAATGTTAGACACCTGGATGGATGGATGGATTAAAAAATAGACACCAAAATAGAAACATTGTATAATTTAATCACTTAATTTTTATGTTAAGCCTCGGAAGAAATAACCAACTTGATCCACATACCAGTATGTTTTGAATTCATTGTAAATGAATAAATTGAATTATTAGAATAGATATTATAATGGTTTTTATAATATTTATTTAAATTAATCTATTAATAAATTGAATACCAATAATTAAAAATAAAAGTACAAATATTTTAATTATACTAATTTAATTCTTATACTTTATTAATTGTATTAATATTATCTTTTGACCAGTAAGATCCTTGTTGATCATTTTGATGTTGATATGATGGTTAGTTATATTATCATGACAATTCAAATGATCTAGAGTGTTAACGTGGTAATATAATAGAAGGACTTAATGTACTTTTTAATTGTGTTTGAATGTATGATTGATGATTATAAAAAGATTTAGGGTTTATTTTATCTTTAAATAAGAAAAATTAAGAAATTATTTTTTAAAATTAAAAAGATAAAACTATTAATAATTTATAAACACTTTTAATTTTAATAATTTATAATTTTACAATTTTTATAATTTTATTTATTTATTTTTTTGAAAATTTTAATAATATTTTAATTTTAATTTTTTTTGGAAAATTAATATTTTATTAAATTCTCAACTTTTTTTTCTTAAATATTAAATATTTTTTTATAAAAATAATCATGTCTTGTTCAACTGAACAATCAATTAGATCTCTTTAACATATCTTTATATATATGTGTGTGTGTGAATTATGACGTTGATATTGTGGATTATTACATCAAAACAATCAATTCTCATATTAATATAGTAACAATCAACAAATGAACGCCAAATGGGTTGTTGATTCTTTAAATGGAGAACGAACGAAATAGCGTTTTTATGAGCGACTGCACCCAACTCATACGAGAAGGTTGGTCAGACACACATTAAGAGAAGGGAGCAAATGTACAGACTGCTTGGCTTTCGACCAAGAAGAATAACTCATTATTTTGGCCGATCTCCCTCATTTTCTATGGCCATTGTTTTTAGTTAATGCCGGGGAAGGCTGTCCTAAGACTCTGATTCTGTAAATATAGTCTTATGTACTGAAAAGAAAAAGTAACAATCCACAATATAATTGGTATAATTATATATTATTATTATATTTAAAATATATAAAATTATCTCTTAATTTATATATTATTACATTTTTACTAAATAAAAAATAAATGTGAAAAAACTAATTAACGAATGCCAAAGCTGCTGACAACTGATGGAGCACGAGGAGTTAGTCTTTTTCTATTAACCACACCACAATGCATGCCACTATCAATTAAGGTGCTGTCTGGACCATAATAAAATGCTAAATCTATGACAATCCTCCAACGGGTGATCGTAAAAATTTATATAAAAAGATTTTAACATTTTACAAATTATATTAAAAATTTAGAAATAGATAATTAATAAAAAACATTATAATAATTTAAAATTATTAAAGAGACAATTACCCTTCAATACTCATTTCTAACAACTGATAAAATCTAACTTAATTTCATAAAAGAGGAAGTGCTAGAATTTCTTTAATTTAAAATTTGATATTATAAATAAAATAAATTTTAATAAAAATATTTACATTACTTTTTTTTATCATGTAGTAGCTATCAAATTTATACTAATAAAGTCCTCTAGAGATATCATACCTTCTTTGGAATCACTCTTTGTCGGGATCATTTTCTGAAACTCATATTCCTCAATATTTGATGTGGTTTTTGATAGAGTCAAATATGATAGTTGACAATACATATGCACAGTCTACCAACTTAATAAATACAAGATGATCCTAGGTCCAACCATCCTACAATTAATATTTATACCCAGCGAATAACTGAAAGAATCTTTTCTTCTCTTTTCCACCCTCACTCAGATCAAGAACAACATTATCTACCACATCATATTTCTCTTTTTTCTCTTATAATGATATACCAATGTATTAGTGTGACATACAACTCCCCGTCTAAACTAAAAGAGATGAACAATGAACAATTGACACGATTCATTTATTCTCCATCAACAATTTTATAATATCTAATTAAAATTAATTAATCAAAATTAAATATCGACAAATAAATTAAACTAATAATTTGATGAATGTGAAGTAAATAAATATTTGAGGATAAAATTGAAGCGTAAGGGCATCCATTTATAAAACAACTCAGGCAGCAGGCAGCCAATATTTTGATTTTCCTCGACTTTTACCCAAGACCAGTGAGCATTGGAAAGAAAAAGGGTCAGCTTCCATTTCTAGAAGCTGCCGCCACACGAAACTTGGGAGGTTTGATTGGACATGTTGATTGGGTCTCCATCGTACATTAATTTTTTTTATTAATAAAATTTATTTCTATATATCCATGTTCCTACGAAATAGTTAACCGTGGCTATTATGATGTACAGTCAAAAGAAGATTATTTTCATCTGTAACAACATATAAGGACAAATATTTTTTACTCATTTCTTTTCTAAGAAAAATGTTGTCAAAACAACCTATGTTGATTTCACATCATAACTAATCATCATCAAATTTCTCATTATTAACATCACTATGGACATGTTGTTTATTAGCACAAAACATATCCCTTAAATATCCTAATATTTACAAGATTACGGGATATAATCTTTTCTCGTCTGTATAAAATAGTGATCACTTTTTAATTGGTTAACTATTGTTTTGTACCGTGGCATGAATATATTTTAATAAAAGCACAGGATTTCATAAATAAAATCACACGCATAATTCAGTTAGAAGAATAAAAATATAAATTTCAGTAATTGTAATCAACTCTTAATTTGATACATCTTTTCATCAAACCATTTTCTGTTTTGACTGTTGAAAAATTAATATACGAATGTCTTAGCTTAGAAATATAAAATCAAGTTGTCGAATGAAAAACACCTACAGTCAAACCCTTATAACTTAATAATGTTAGAATCGCATTATTTCATTAATTATTAATTAATCCATAAAACATATACATAGTATTGACTAATAGAGTGATATTCATGTAAAATGTAACTAATTAAATATAATACATACTCCTAAAAAACAAAGTTTGCTTTGGTAACATATAATTTATTACTTTTCTGATTTGTTGATGTTTTCTAAACCATATACAGAGAGAAACTTGGAATTCCAAGCGTTGAGGCTGCAATGATTGGTTTGTCAATACTCCTTTTGCTAGGCGTGCTTGACTGGAATGACTGCTTAAGTGAAAAATCAGCCTGGGATACATTGGCTTGGTTTGCCGTTTTGGTAGGCATGGCTGGCCAATTGACAAACCTTGGGATAGTGAGCTGGATGTCTGGTTGTGTAGCTCAGTTCCTTCAATTTTTCTCTTTGATCTGGCCGGTTGCATTTGGTGTTCTTCAGGCATCTTACTTTTTTATCCATTACCTATTTGCATGTCAAACCCGTCATGTAGGTGCATTATACTCTGCTTTTCTTGCCATGCACTTGGCAGCTGGAGTGCCCGGTATATTAGCAGCGCTGGCTCTTGCTTATAACACCAATCTTTTTGGTGCCATAACTCATTATAGCAGTGGTCAGGCCGCCGTTTACTATGGAGGTGAGTGTTTTTTTTTCCTCACTTTATTTTGTGTACACCTGCATATGAGGACCGTGCCTTTTACATTCAAAGCCTGTTTTTATCTGCAATTGTTATTGCTTAGTAAACCAACATCTTAATAGAGTGTCTGTCTATACTCGGATTTGCCTCGGGTAACTGATGAATTATTTTGGTTTTTCTTTTCGACAGCCGGATATGTAGACCTGTCTGATGTATTCAAAATGGGATTTGTAATGGCTTTTATTAATGCCATCGTCTGGGTGGTTGTTGGAAGCTTATGGTGGAAATTTTTGGGTCTCTTCTGATTTAATTACTCCATTCTTCCCTGTTGTAAGAAGCCATATTTTTGGGGACAAATTGAGTTCAATTTGAATTTACTTGCAAAGAACCCTTGTCTATTTTTTTATCTGCTCTATTTTAATGTTGGTTAAACATTTCCTCAGGTTTATTTGATTCAAATCCATATATCATCCGTGTTCATGCTTCAGACAAGATCGATTCTCTTTTAACAATGTCGGCTTAAATTCAAGTACTCTCCTAGACCTTGAGAGTGCAAATCATTGCATTTTCTAAGAATCATCGGCCTCGAGAATTACAGATAACATGGAACAATATTATTCCTTTGCCTTTAGTCAATTGTTGATGGGGGAGGTAGAATACGCACAATGAACATTACTAGGATTGGGACCAATTGCAAACTTTGTTTCCCCAATGGTGTAAGTCAACTTAGTAATTTTTTAATCATAAAATTCCAAATAATATAATTAACAAATCATAGTTGAGGCCGCACTACAAACGGTTCTGCCAGACATCAGGTCTTGTGTGGTCGACAACTGGTTTAGGCCATTATAGTCAAACTTACCCATGCCATGGGAATCTTATTCCTAACCAATTGAAAATATATATATTACTTTTTCACATTGACTGGTCCCCATTCTTAACAATTAGGTATTGATTTTAAAATCAAATCATACATCAAATACCGAGTTAAAATACAAAATTTGACCAAAACAAATGTTGTTAGTATCCGGTAAGTGTTAAAAACTATAAGAATCCAATTTCCTGAGATGAGCATATAAGCTTAAAGCAAGCTAGATGAAGCCAAATACGTATATATCAAAGGGAAGGAAGGACAAAGGGAATAAAGAGATGCAAGCATGATCAATATGGTAAAAAAACAACAACAACAAAGCTACATAAAATATCAAACGGAGAATTCAAAGGAAGCAAGCATATTCCAAACCTTCAGCTTAGGAAATTTCTCAAATCATCAGCTCCCTTATTGTCAACAAAACAATTAAACAAAGTGTGCATATAAACTCACAGTAATTAGAAAGCCAGAAAAGCTTCAACTTGGAACAGATAACCAGTGAACTACTAAGAAACTTTCACGAGTACTTCCAAGGTTCATAAAATGAGGCCTGATCTACTAAAAACGAGTAATGGAAGGCAACAGTAGGACCAAGCGACTTCTCCACACAAAAACAACCAGAGAAGTGAAATACTACCGTGAAGATTAGCTACTTCATCCTTGTTTCTCCTCATCATGTTTGGGAGCTTCTTTGATCTCATCTGTCCCATCATCCTAAAATACATAAAAGAATATTATTAGTTAACAAAAAATAATTACAAAATAAAGTATACAAAAGGAAAAATATAAAGGTCAAAAAGAAGAAAAAAAAACTGCGGGGTCTGACCTGCATATCCGAGGTCCACAAAGTGAGGTTATCACGGAGAAGTTGCATTATCAAAGTGCTGTCCTTGTATGAATCCTCTCCAAGAGTATCCAGCTCTGCGATGGCTTCATCGAAAGCCTGAGGAAAGAAACAAAAGATGTTGACTAACATAACTTGAAAACAAGTTAATGGCACTCCAAAGTCCAAAGGAAGAACCAAACAAGGATTTGTAATACTCATACCACAAAGCACGCCAACGTTTTCAAGTAAAATGAATATAAAGACTAAACTAAAATTCCAAATTCTCGTTATCCTACCTGTTTCGCAAGAGTGCAAGCACGATCCGGAGAGTTCAAGATCTCATAGTAGAAGACGGAAAAGTTCAAAGCCAATCCTAATCGGATAGGATGAGTTGAGGCCAGCTCAGCAGTCGCAATGTCCTAAAAAGAAAACAGAACAAAAAGATACAGCTAACACAGACAAAGGAGCCGAAATTATGGACAAAACAAGTAGTCATAATCACTTTGGCAAAGGTAAAGATATTCTATTCAGATGTAAAAGAGTGAAAATGCGAATAATAATAATAATAATAATAATAATATCATCAGATCCAACTGATTGCAAACTTTAAAGAAAAGAGATAGCAGTCAAAAGGTCTCCATAAACATGAATAGCATCGATTTGTGACCTGACAAGAAAAAGGCAAAAATAAAACAGAGCAGTTAATAGTATTTTTGCCCTGTGGTAATTGAACGAACATGAACCACCAAAATGATTTTGAATTTTAGATCGACGAGGTAAGCAAAGAGGTAACCTTTGATCAGTAGATATAATCATATAAACACAAATTATCTTGGCTTTAACAAGAAACTCAGCTATGCACACCACACAATTTATATGGTACTTTATATGCTTCTTTCTCGTATATTTAAATATGTTTTTGATGTTTTAAATTGTAAGCTTCGTTGATTTTATAGGATCTTTCTTGTACAACACCAAGAAGAATTTTAATTTTTAATTTGAGTCAAACCCTAGAAATAAAGCAAATAAAGGCAAAGAAATGCACAAGATCGAAAAAGAAATAATGAAAGAACCACAAACCTGAGCAGATTTATAGGCAGTGAGCGTGTTCTCAGCAGCCGCTTTCCGGTCATCGCCAGTCTTGAACTCAGCCAAGTACCTGTGGTAATCTCCCTTCATCTTCAGGTAAAATACCTTGGAATCACCGGTCCCAGCGGCCGGAACGAGCTTCTCCTCGAGGAGCTTCAAGATTCCGGCGCAAATCTCGGACAATTCGGCCTCGATCTTGGCCCTGTACTCACGGATGACGGAGACGTGGTCGGTGTTGCCACGTCCTTCCTCCTTCTGCTCGATGGAGGAGATGATCCGCCAGGAGGCACGGCGAGCGCCGATCACGTTCTTGTAGGCGACGGAGAGGAGGTTCCGCTCCTCGACGGTGAGTTCGTCGGGGGCGGGTACGGCGGAGACGACGTTCTCCATGAACTTGACCATCTCCTCGTAGCGCTCGGCTTGCTCGGCGAGCTTCGCCAGGTAGACGTTTTCGTCACGTGCGGAAGGCGTGGCCATGGTTTTTTTGGTTCAGAGATTTTGGATCAAAAAATGGAAATGAAAAGATTTGAGAGCTCTGTTCAGTTGCGGAGAAATAAGAGTCGGCTTTTGGATGAAAACCAAAGGCACTTTATTGGAATTTTATGGTATAAAATAAAATAATATATAATTTAAAATAGTTAATTTCATATACAGTAATATCTGTATAAATTAATAATATCGATATTACATAATTTTATTAATTTAATTAAATATTAATTAATCGATAAATTATTAACTTAATAATTTAAAGAAATTTTTTTCCCGATTCAACCAACTTACATTATTCTTCATGACATGAATTCATTGAATGTTTTTTCAAACAAAACTGAAAATGATATAATGCATCCAATTACGTGAAAGGAAACACTTATAGCAATAACAATTCTTTACATTTTTTGTTGCAATACCGAAATTTTTGGATGCAGTATGGAAAGCTAGAGATGAAATAAAATTAGATTTAAATTTTAAGAAGAACAAAAAAAAACAATAGAATCATATTTTATTAAATTGTCCTAGTTATATTTGTAATTTTATAGAATTATTAATTTATAATATTAAAGGAATAATAAATTTATATGATTTTTTAAAAAAAGTTATTATCTTATTAATTTATTGAAATTATTAATTTAGACCTTGACCTAAGTCGATGACAAGAAAAATTATTATTTTAGAGAAATTGTTAATTCATCGAATATTAATTTCCAGAAATTATACATTACTATCTTCAAGTTATGACTTATAACTTAAGTCCATCCTAAGTTTAAATTTATTAAAAAGTAATTTTCTTAAATTTCCATGGCATTGCCCTTTTTCTATGAACATGTTAGATATAATTGTTAATACGAGAGTCACATATATGAATATAATGACGGAACTCAACATTATTTATTGAATATATACTTTTTTTTAAAATGTATATATCTTTATACTTTTATTAGTGTAAATTATATATCAAAATATCATATTAATAAAAAATATATAAATCTTTAAAATTCATATATTCGTATAATAATTTTAAAAATATAGATAATGACGTTTTCTAGAATTATATCTACATTTTGTTATTGGAGATAAAAATTTATGAACCCACATAATAGATATACGTATTTAAAATAATATCATAAATATAAATAAAAGTTAACTCTTTTTTGTATTTTCATTTATTTAAAAACAAAACAATAGGAAAAAAAAAAGATGAACTCTTTTTAATAACTGATACCTAAGTAGTTTTTAGATTTTAAAGTCGTATATACAATTTTTTTAGAATAACTAAATTTGATAACTTAGTATATACTTTTTGAGGGATTAATTTAAGATTTTAATATTTTGCATGTATATAAATACATAGAACTGGTGTTACGAGGAGGAATTAGAGGGTGGTATTCCGTTATGCACGTCGTGGTTGATAACTTGACAAAACTAGTTTGGAATTTTTGTCCGGCGAGTAAAATTTGATTCGATTTGAAAAATCAATTTTTTTTATTCGACTCGACTTGAAAAAACTCGACTCGACTAGAAAACTTTTTAAGTTCAAATCGAGTTGTATTTTACAACTCGAATAACTCGAAATTTTTAGTAATTAGTATATTGATTTTCAAGTTTGAGTCGAATTATGAGTTGAGTCCCTCGACTTTGTATGTAAATTACATATGAAAAAAATATATATATTGTATATAGTTATAAAATAACATTTAAATTTGAATAAAATAATATCATAATATTGTAAATGTTTTCAATTAAATTTAAATAGAAACTCGAAAAATTACTCGACTCAAAAAAATTTCAAGTCAACTTCGAGTTATAGAATATGACTTGTCAACTCGAATAACTCGAAATTTTTTGACTGGACTCGACTCAATCGGACACTCACTCCTACTCCTACTCCTACTCCTACTCCTACATACTAGTGTTCAAACTTTTCCCAAACCACAAGCGGAGACCCTTACCGCTCCGCATAACGACATTTTGATATAATTGCTGCAAAGACTCTACTGGGTCTTGCTCTAGTTTCATATACTTTTTAATTCAAAAAAAAAAAACATTGAGGTTGGCTTGCTGAATTAGTACCATTAATTATTATAAAAACACAGCCATTTAAGTGTAGAATTTTTTAAGTTACAAATATAATTACAAACAAAACACGATTGCAATCAATATTAGAAGTTAGTGATTTTAGAAAACTAATCAATACTTATTATGGAAGGAAGAGTGAAGTCAGGTTTATTTAAGCAAACCCTAATAGTTGCCATTTTTTATCTCTCGACAAACATGAGCTGGTAAGGAAGAAGATATCCCTTGGAACCTGCTTAATACACTTAGCATTGCATGCAACCTCAAGATAAGGGATAGGATTTTTATTAAAAAATTAATAGTCATCTAGTTAAACATTAACCTGTTGACTGAAATATAATAAAATCTGATCCAAAATCTTTTAAATTATAATTGATTGATTGAATATATATTTACATTGTACAAAGCACCCAATTCAACTGTAGCGAAACGCTCCATTCAAATTCTAGGGCATTAAACATTGATTAATCATCCAAATCATATTAGCCGACCGCCGCCATTGAACCTCCGCCAATGGCTACTCTCGCCGCCGATCAGCCACTAACTCTGGATTCTCTCCCTACCGTCGACTTAACTACCCTAACCCAATCCGAACTTCTCGCCCTCTCCCTTTGTTCCCCAACCGCCTTCGATCTTCACCGCTCCGACAACCTCGTAATCCCTTCAATCGACCGTTCTAGTTTCAATGAATCCGCCGGATCCCGCCGCCAGACTTTCTCCCGCCCTTCTCCAAACAGCCACCATTCCTCCCACCACCACCACCACCACCACCCTCTCCGCCACCGTATCCCCGGCTTCCTCCCCTCCCCCAAACCGGCCACTCCTTTCCCTCCTCATCACGACCCCGAAGCCCAAGAAAACCGATCGATAATATCCTCCCTCAAAGTCTCCCTCAAATCCCACCCCGAATTCCAGCATCTGGACTTCAATTCCCCGTCTTCCTCCCCTAAGGACGCGAATGTGAGTTACGGGATGAGGGACGCATTGGTAAATTTCGAGATTAAAGATGCCATGATAAGTCTCGGGAAGAGGAAGAGAGGGAGGCATCTCAATATGCAGGCTGTTAATTCCGAGGAAGAGAGGGAGCGGGGTTTAGAGATTGTGAACAAAAATGGTGTAGCCGTAGATTTGGTGGCATTGGGTGGTTTGGAGGATCCTTTTGCGGAGGAATTGAAGAGGAGGACGGAGGGAATGGCGGGAAACGAAGAGGCCTTGCTAGTGTTTATGAGGGATTTAGGTGGACAGTGGTGTAGTAGAAGAAGGAGGAGGAAGATTGTTAACGCTAGTATCTTCGGAGACGTCTTGCCGGTAGGCTGGATGCTTTTGTTGGGGTTAAAGAGGAAGGAAGGCCGCGCTTCGGTATATTGTCGGAGATATATCAGGTGATACGTTTTCCCTTTCTTTATCTATCTTTATAGAGCTACTGCAAATTCTAACAAAATGAATCAGAATTCTGCATCATTTTTCTTGGTTTGGGTATATTTTATCATGAATATATATTTGTATATATCCTAGGCATCGTTGTTATTTCTTTTCTTTTTTCAGTCCTGGTGGGCGGCACTTCGTATCATGTAAAGAAGTCTCTTCATACTTGCAATCCCACTTTGGGCTCCATGATGCACCCTTGACAATGGATAATGATGGTGACATTGCTCATCATATTCATCAAATGGCTTCTGAAAACGTACGTGAAGTTTGCATTTAAATCGTGAAAGATAAAGAAATGAAGTACCTAACAATGTTTGATGTGTTCATGCAATAGCAGGAAGGTGCTATCCAGAAAGAGGATGATCAAAGGAGGTCTGCTCAACGCGAGAAGGAATTTAACTTACTGGGAATGGATAACCTGGCTGAAGTTCAAATACATGATCTTTTTGAATGTCATAAATGCAATATGAAATTTGATGAGAAGGATGCATATTTGCAGCATCTTTTATCATTTCACCAGAGGACTACGAGGAGGTACAGGCTCGGTTCTTCTGTTGGAGATGGTGTGATACTTAGAGATGGAAAATTTGAATGCCAGTTCTGTCATAAGGTATTTCATGAACGACGTAGGTACAATGGTCATGTAGGGATCCATGTTAGGAACTTTGTGAGGGGAATTGAAGATTCACCTGGTTTACTGACACTTCCAAGGAGAACTGAGGTTGCAACTAAGCAAGAGTCCACGAGGACTTCCAAAATGGATGCATTAATTGAAATTGCTCAGAATTCAATTCTTGAAACTAGTACCTCTGTGCCTAGATATGAACTCAATGATGAATCAAGTTCTGATAAATCAAATGCTGTTCCTAATCCAGATATTCCTGCATCTACCTCTGATCATGAAATGAATTCTGATTCTCCTTCAAGTGATTCAGAAACAGAGGATGACATGACTGACAGAACACCAGATCAAGATTTAAGTCAGCAAACCAGTGAGCCTATGGTCATCGATGAAAAGGTGAAGAAGATTGATGAAGCTGTCAATACTGCAAATATGGATTGTCTCTTTGATGCTACGGTTTCTGATTCTGTGGATGTGCAAAATGGTCATACATCTGAAACTCTAAACAGAAAAGATGGTTTAACAGTTCCTGCTGAAGAAGCTGACAAGTGTTGCATTGAAGAGTATAGAGGTTCTGCAAGTAATTTACTTGTTCCTGAAACCGATCAGGGTGTCTGCGATGTTGAGAATGAAGTCAGTTTAGTTGATGCTGGCTCAAAGGAGCATCCTAAAACCGAAGAAGTTGATAATGGTACCCATTCTAATTTAGTTATTGGTTCTGGAAATAGTTATTGTTCAGCTAAAGATGTTGCACCAGAGACTACCCATCAAACATATGAAGAAAATGTACTCAAGGACGAGGTCCCTGAATCTTCAATGACCCTACTGTTACCTGTCAACGGTACATCAGTGTCAACTCCTATCTCAGACAAGGTATAAAGACACTGTTCATTTTTTTTGCTTTATGAGTACAATCGTGTGTAAACAGTTTTAGATCATTGTGGTGCGCACTAGAGCTCTTGTATCACTATTCCTCTCCATTTATTGATGTTATCATTCATCTTCTTCTTTTGGAGTGCATTCTGCCTTAGTTTGGTTGTATTCCTTCACCAAAATGTCTTAGATGGTTCCTCGTTTCTTTCTTTAAGGCTTACAAAACAAGGTTATGATACAAAGCTATTGATGGTTTTACTTATATGCTGCCCGTAAATAAACAGGCATTTTTGAGGTTTTAATTATCGTAGTTCTTACAGATGTCATATCATCTCAGAGAAATGGTTGGTTTAATTTATTTCACTGAAGAAACTACTCAATGTTTATGTTCTCCATGTCTAACGACAGGGAGAGGACGGTTTATGCAGCATAGATGAGAGTGATGGCAATGTGAGAGATTTTGATGAGCTGAAGTTGGTTGAAACGGAGCAGATCAATTTGAGCTTTGACGGTGTGCGTGTATCTTCCTCATTGCCAGAGGTTCCAGTAGAGTTGGCTAATAATCCGGATATAGAAGGCGCTTACACATCCCCGGTTCAGATCGGATCTGGAGTCTTTTTAGATATGGGTGGGAAGCCTCAGCTTACTACTCTGTGTGTATGGTGCGGGATGGAGTTCAATCAGGAGGCTGTTGATTCTGAAATACAATCAGATTCAGTTGGTTATATGTGTCCTACCTGCAAGTCTAAATTTCTAGGCAACTCGGTACAGTGATCTAGCAATTCCTTTGCCATGTATAAAAGGATTAAAAGAAAACAGTGATTCAGCTATGAATGGTCTCCATATTTGGCCAAGTCATAAGTTTCAGAGCAAGAATTCCCTAATGTTGGTAACTGATATTATATTACTCTATTCGTACGGCTTGTGTGATTGGTATATTTTCTAGATTGTGTCGTATCTTGAAATATTTCTTTCCTATGCTACAGTTATGCAATTGCTTTAGGGTATCAAAATTATTATATCTTGAAATATTAGGAATGCCTCCTGGATTTATTTATAAGGTAAAATACACTTTAGATCATTCAATTATTTGTTCAGTTAGAGATGAATTTGATTTTAATATAAAATAATTTAATAAATTTACGTTTTAGATTAGATTTGGATACGCGGTTTGTGTTTCAGACATAGTTTTCTCACGATGCTTGATTTTGATTTGAAATTGTCGGTAGTCTTTCAGTGGTTTCATCTCAATGATTCGTTTGTCGATGCAATCAGATTTGTTGATATTTATATTTTGTTTGAGTTTTTTGATGGATTTTTAATTTTTTTTGTAGGGTCCTTGTTTTGATCTCAGTTTCTTGTGTTTATGGTATATGAATGTTCAAATTATGTGTTTAGTTTACAATTATGATTGTAAATCTTCAATGTAATTTTGGATTTTTTTGTGGATTTTATTTGCTTCAAAAACAATAATTCAATAAATTTATACTTTCACATTTTTAATTAATTTAGTAAAAATATTATATTATTTTTTATTATTTTCTTGATATAATAATAATTTAAAAATAACTTATTTTATTTTGAATGAACTTGTTTAGTTCTACAATATTGTAGAAAGAAAAATAAATTAATGATTTTTTAAATAAAAAGGGATAAATTTATTGAATTGTTTTAAAATAAGATTAAATTAATAGGATGTATAAGTTTTAGAGATTAAAATTATTATTATATTAGATTACTCCGTATAATATTTAACGAAGTTTTAATTGATTGATCAAATTATAATTTTTTTCTAAAAATGATGTTTATGACTAAATTAATAATTGAGTGGCATAAGATATATTTTATTTATTTATACTCCATATGTCCCAATAAATGTGTCCCTTTTGGTTTTTAAAATTGTCATATTCAAAATGTCAATAACGCTTATATTTTTTTTGCTCTTGTATGACTCACTATTTTATATCTATCAAAATAAATCTATCAATCACTTTTTAGAGATAAATTTTGTCATTTCACTTGGTCAAATATATTTCTTAAAACTACGTGCATAGTCAATATAAGACACAAATTATGAGACGGGGAGAATATTTACTAATGAATAAGATGTAAATATATTATTCAAAATGATTAAAATAGAACTATATTTGATAATTTTATTGCACTTTCACCTATTGAATTAATAGGTGGAAGATTGAGAAGCAAAGATGTGTGCACAATGGATCACACAAATAGTGTTATTTATAAGAAATTGAAATGAAGATGCTACAGCTTTGTCCTTTGCCTAAAGGAACGGCTTAAAATGAAAGCACAAGTTCTTATGTACATGAAGCTTATCATACACGTACGAGACAAAGGAGAATTAATATATATAAATACAGTATAAAATTACATAGAATCAAACATTGTATATTTAATGAAAATTTATACGTAATTACGATATTTATTTATTTTAAAACTAAATTATAATTTCATGGTAATTCAAAAGATTTCCGTCATGAAATGACCATCCAGCTCAGTTGGTAAAACACAAGATTCTTAACCTTGAGGTCGTGGGATCGAGTCCCACAGAGGGCATTTCATAATTCGGAGGTTTCTTACGGAAGTTGCTCTCAACCTGATGTTGGGGGTAGTCCACTATCTTACCTCCCCTTATCCCATATATATGGAAAAAGGGACAACCATTTTTCAAAAGATTTCCATCACAAAAAAGAGATGATATGGTTTAAACTTTAGAGCTAATACTATCGGGATATATTTACAGGTTTTCAGAATAATCGTATTTCAAGCAAATTTTAATTTTTTTATAAAATTTAGATATATTCTTAATATTCTATATTAATGATCTATTTTTGTAATTTTAAAAAAATAATATAACTTGGTGAATGTTATATGGAATAAACTTTTAATATTATTTGCGAGATTCTAATATTTGATATGAAATTAACGGGCGGGATTTAATTAAATTTTAAAACAAAAGTGATTTTAAATCGGATCAATATTTTATATGTTGATTCGGACACTAGGCATAGATACCTCTAACCTATTAGAGCTTCTCCACTACAGCCTTTTTTTGGTTTGAAAAGCTATATAGCGTCCTTAAAGAATAGTTAAGCTTTATTTAAATGTCTAAACTTCTAGAAAGAGAAAAAAAATCACATTTTGGCTCTTTTAAAATAAAAATAAAAAATTAATTTAACCCCTCCAAAAAGTATAAAGATAAAAATCAGTACAATGATAAGATTAAATTTTAAGTCCCATAAGAATTATAATTTAAGTTGGATTTCATATCTTTTTTGACTTATATCTCTTATTTATAATAAGACTGGACATGCATTTTAAATCTAAATATGTTACATTTGGTACAAATCTTTTTAATTTTGTATTAGTTTAGATTCAAAATCAATTGTTATAAAGTACATAAACAAATAGATTAACTACGAAGATATATTTAATACATTTTAAATCCGAAGTGAATAAATTTAGATAGAAAACCTATACGTATATTTTTTACGAATAATGAGTACCACTGAAACAAAAGGGTAAATGCTTTAGAGATATTGGTATCTTTAACAAAAAAAATAAATGAACGATTTGTTTAAACTAAATCTTGATTGTTGATGCTTATAAAACCCAAAGATTAGTGACCTATCAATCTATGAATTACAAATAACAGTAGCACTAGTCTTTATTTCATTTAGCCAACATCGTCGGCGGCCACGGAAATGGGAAGAGACAAGCCCGGTTGCTATCAATGCTGGCAACGGTTCATGACCAAGGCAAAATCAAGGTCCAAAGGCACTGATGTCCAATGCCTTTCATGCTGAAACAACTATTTCCCGTTTCCCGACGATGAACAACCAAGCCAGTGCCACGGGGGTCTTTGCAGCCGAATGCGAACCTTTTGTAGAGACCAAATCAGAGGAAAGACGAATCAAAGTACATTATCGCCTTCTTTGAATCTCTCGCACTCGCCGACTTACTTGACTGAAAGGTCGAGCAAGCATGCAGTGCTTTGCGGAATCACTTACATTAACTGGAAGCAGTATAGGCTTAAAGAAACCACTAACGACGTCAAGAACATGAGAGAGTTGTTGATCACTAAATTTGGCTACACTGGAGACTGCATTCGAGTTCTAACCGGTATTCTTCCATTGTTATCTTATTCACTTACTGTCTGTTGAGAATTTAGTATATACTCAGAAAACGATTACTGCCATTTTTCGTTTTTTTCTCAGTGCAAGTATACATGACTTATATAGCATTTGATTGCTGAGCTAAGAAGTAATCTGCTTAACAAAAAATATAACCGTATAACAGCACTCTAACAGCCTACAAAATTGATTTCCTGCAATACAGTGTACGCTACTAACTATGAGCTTAATTACAGCTTCTTGAATCTTCTCCATGCATGCCATGCTTAAGTCTGCACTCGATCATTCTTCCAACATTCCTCCTGCTTTTCCTCTCCTCCTTCCTTTTTAAGACACACATTCACCTGTTCTCGAAAAATTGCAAAGGCTATCTTTGACAAGGGCTTTGTAAATCCATCTTCTAGTTGATGTTCAACAGGGACATAATTAACACATAATTGATTTCCATCAATTTTTTCTCTGACAAAGTGCACATCTAAATCAACATGTTTAGATTGTGCATGATGAACCGGATTCACACTTAATGATATGACACTCGTGCTATCACACCAAATGATTGGTTTAGCCTGCTGAGTTACTCCAATATCATTTAACAATGCATCTATCCAGGTAACCTCTGCAACAACATCTGCAAGGTTGCGATATTCGGCTTCCATGGTCGACCTGGAGACAACCTTCTGTTTCTTTGTACTCCAGGACACTAGGTTACCACCAAGTAGAACGCAATGTCCTGACAACGATCTGCGATCATCGACACAACCACCCCAATCCGCATCCGCAAAAGCAACGATTCTTAGCGCTTCCCTTGAGGGCTTGAAGAGCAAACCATACTCAACTGTGCCAGCTAAGTATCTTAGAATACGCTTGGCAGCCTGCATATGACTCTCGCGTGGTTCGTGCATAAATTGAGCAACCTTGCTCACGCTATATACTATGTCAGGTCTTGTGTGACATGTATAAAGCAGTGCACCAACCATACTTCGAAATTCTCGAGCATCTTCAATAAGTTTTCCAGCATCATTTTGAAGTTTATTTGAAATCACCATTGGTGTACTGGTAGAAGCTGCCTTCATCATGTTCGACTTCTCTAGTAATTCTGAAATAAACTTCTTTTGAGACAGCATAAGACCCTGTGGACTGCGCTGAACTTCAATCCCCAAGAAATAATTCAACTCACCAACATCCTTTAACGAGAAATTGGTTTTGAGTGACTGAACCACTCGTTCAATTGCAGTAACTGACTGACCAGTGATCACAATATCATCGACATAAACAAGTATATAGGTTATTTCTCCTTCAGTAAGTGAAACGAACAGAGATGCATCTGCACTTGACACATGAAACCCCAGCTGTATCAGGCTATCTTTCAGTTTATTGATCCAGTTTCTAGGAGCTTGACGTAACCCATACAAAGCCTTATGCAGCTTACAGACAAGCCTAGTCCCATCCTCAGCTAACTGCTAAAATCCAGGCGGCTGCTGCATAAAGACTTCCTCAGACAGGTCACCATGTAGAAAAGCATTATTTACATCCACATGTCGAAGTGTCCATTTGTTTGATACCTCTACGGAGAGGATAACATTTAGAGTTGGGAACTTGACCACGAGACTAAAGGTTTCCTTGAAGTCCTGTCCTGGAACTTGCAAAAATCCCTTTGCCACTAACCTTGCTTTGTAAGGTTGAATTGAACCATCGGGATTTTTTTTTTCAGTTTGAATAGCCACTTGCATCCAACTGCTATTCGTCCAGTTGGTAATGGAACTAGCGTCCATGTTCCATTTCGTTTTAAAG